AAAAATGTCCAATTAACATGGTCGGCAATTTGATTATAGTTCGTCTTTGTTTTAACATTGAACTGATATATACATATACATATATATTTAACAAATTAAAATAAATATTAACTAATTAAACATTATGGTGGGTGGCCTGAAAAAAAGATCCATTGATTCTAACCATTCTATTAGTTATTATTATAATTATAATTCATATCCTGACTTGGCCATGCATAGGGACCCGACATACGCATACATATTTATATAAAAAAATTACATATCATATAAAATTCACACTAGAACTAAAAGTGTGGCTCTCTATTTTTTTTTTTTAAAAAAATTATTTAAATTGTATAAAGAGAAAAAAAAAATTAGTTAGAAATTAAATTCGTAAGAAAAAACAACGAAAATAGAAAGTAAAGAAAATTCACAGAACCATAAAGGGGGGGAGATGTTCGCAGTTTTCTACATTGAGGGGGTAAGAAGTCAACCCGTATTACGTACACAGAAGAACTGACCAGATCTTTCCGGGCGATGAACAAATTTTGACCGCTGCTGCGAGTACGAGTTGACTTAAAAAACAACTTGACATACACATGTGCTTGTAGAAATTATTATATAATAAATAAATAAATAAATTTAAAATACAAATGATTAAGCTTATAAAAAAGAAAATTAACTAGTCATTTGAAGGCAATTTCTATCGCCTGTTGGTCTCGTCAAATAGTAAAGCAGGTCCCCTCTTTTGATTAAGCTTATCATGCATGATAATAATAATAATAATAATAATAATTTCCACAGACAAAAATTTATGTGATTAGTTTATTGAAAAGATAAATTATCAATTTTTAGTAATTGGTAAATCATTCTGAAACCCTACCTTAGGTGGTAGGTTTAATCAGTGGATGCACTCGAAACAAAAAAAAAAAAAAAAAAAAAAAAAAGAAAAAAGAAACAGGGCAAACGGGGCATGACCCAATACGATTAATCAATGATTTTCACACTTGCACCACTTGTTGCTCAACCTGACCACTCGTGTCCCGTCCCCTCTTTCACCCATTTCCACCAGGCTTAATGTCATATCAACAGCACATAAAAAATATACAATTTCTTAAATGAAGTCCATCTTTATTAAATTTTAGGTGGTTATAAAAAAATTTAATTATCTTTTACTACAATTAAATATCCAAAAAATCAAATTATTAAATAGTTTTGCAAATAATGAAACTAATTTTAAAATTAAAAGCATAGTTAGTCCTTAAATTTAATGTTAAAAAATTGCAAATTAAGTAATCAAATCACTCAACATGAATTGAATTAATGACGGCAACTGGGTGAATAAAACTTTTTAAAATTCGGAAATTTAAAAAAAAAAAAAATCAGAACCTTCATTTACGTTCTCTTTTCAATTTCAAGGAAAGAAAGCAGAAGCGGTGGGTTCCAGGTATGTCTCTGCAAAAATTGGAAAAAAGGAAATCGTGGAGAGAAAAAAAAAAAAAAAAAGGGGCAATAGCCGGTTTCCGGTGAATTCCATGTACAGGCGCGTGGTCTTGGTTAGGAGAGAATAACTAGTTTTGGGAAAGATACATTGCATTTAGCGGACGTTGTCAGTTAATGTATCTGCAAATTCAACCAAAAAAATTAAAAAAGGAAATTCTCAACACGACACCTTCTCTCTCTCTCTCTCCCAAAATCAAATATATATGCTGTTTGGTGGAGTTCGCCAAATTAACTCCCCTCTTTCTTTTCTCCTCTTCCTCCTCCTCCTCCTTCCTTCAATCCCTTTTTTTGCCCTACTCCGTTAGGGTTTCTGCCTCTTTACAAATATCCGCGCTCCATGTCATGCATTCATCGCTTCTAGGATTATTGTTCCTGATCTGCTGCGCCTTCGTTCACGGTTCCACTTTTTGTGTTTTCGGCTCTTCTCTTTTGCAAGTGTTCTTCTTTAAGATTGAATCATGCCTGCTCTTGTCAATTATAATACTGGTACCTTTCTCGCTTCTTTTTCCTTTTCTTTTCCTTCATATTTTTTTTGTTGTTGCTCTTATTCAGTTTTAAGTTTAGATTGATTCCGGCATGTTAGTTCTGACTTAGAGATCCATTTTATACCTTAGATTAATTGGATTATAGTTTGAATCTGTTTACTGATATGGAATAAATTTATGGAAATGGCATTTTTAATAGCCGATGAAATCTATTGCTACAGAATAACCTGACGGTTGTTAGAAAGATAGACTTCTCCAGGAAAATAGAGTCTCAAACTTTTAGGCATCACTTAAGAAGTTGCTTTTATTTAGCGATGTTAAGTTCACTAGTTTGGATGATAATGTTTCTTCCCCATTACAAATTTCAGGTGATGATGAATTCTTGTCTGCCGGGTCGTTTTGTACGAACCCCATGGATTTGGGTCGATTGTGTTCGATCGGCTCCTATGTGGATGTATACTACCCTCCTCTCAAAAGGGCTCGTGTTAGTGCTCCCTTTGGCTCTGGAGAAGACGTCTTTGAGCAGAACAAGCAACCGTCCATTGAAATTCTTCCAGATGAGTGTCTCTTTGAGATCTTGAGGCGCCTCACAGGAGCCCGGGAGAGGAGCTCATCCGCTTGTGTTTCCAAGCGTTGGCTTACTCTCCTGGCCAGTATTAGCAGGGATGAACACTGTGAGGTGTCTATTCCTGTTTCAAATGATGTAGAAATGACCTTGGCTGATGATGATGGGTATCTAACAAGGTGTTTGGAGGGAAAGAAGGCAACTGACCTTAGACTTGCTGCTATATCTGTTGGAACAAGTGGCCGTGGAGGACTTGGAAAGCTTTCTGTTAGAGGAAGCAATTCTGCTTGTAGAGTTACTGATTTTGGTTTATCGGCTATTGCTCGCGGTTGCCCTTCTCTTAGGACTCTTTCTATATGGAATGTCCCTCATGTTGGTGATGAAGGTCTTTCTCAGATTGCTAAAGAATGCCTGTTGTTGGAGAAGCTTGATCTTTGCCAGTGCCCTTCAATCTCTAACAAGGGTTTGATTGCAATTGCGGAGAACTGTCCAAATTTGACATCTTTGAACATTGAAGCTTGCTCAAAGATTGGTAATGAAAGTCTTCAAGCTATTGGAAAGTTTTGCCCCAATCTGCAGTCTATCTCTATCAAAGACTGTCCTCTTGTTGGTGATCATGGAGTATCAAGTCTCTTGTCATCAGCTTCGCTCCTGAATAAAGTTAAGCTTCAGTCCTTGAACATCACAGATTTCTCTCTTGCTGTTATTGGACACTATGGTAAGGCTGTTACCAATCTACTCCTCGGCAGTCTCCAGAGTGTGAGTGAGAGAGGCTTTTGGGTCATGGGTAATGCTCAAGGTTTGCAAAAATTAGTTTCTTTGGTGATTACTTCTTGTCGAGGAATAACAGATCTGAGCCTTGAGGCTATTGGAAAGGGTTGCACAAACCTAAAGCACATGTGCCTTCGCAAGTGCTGCTTTTTTACCGACAATGGATTTGTTGCCTTTGCGAAGGCAGCGGGATCTCTTGAGAGCCTGCAATTGGAGGAATGCACTAGGATCACCCAGGCTGGCATTGTTGGCGGTCTCGCAAACTCTGGAATGAAACTGAAATCTCTTTCCTTGGTGAAGTGCACGGGAATTAGGGATCAGGTGTTGGAAGTTCCATTGCTTTCTCCTTGCAATTTGCTTAGGTCCCTTTCCATCCGAAACTGTCCAGGTTTTGGGAGTGCCAGCCTTGCTATGGTGGGAAAACTGTGCCCCCAGCTTCAGCATGTAGATCTGAGTGGGCTTTGTGGAATAACAGATGCGGGGCTTCTCCCACTTCTGGAGAGTTGTGAAGCTGGACTTGTCAAGGTTAACCTCAGCGGCTGCTTTAATCTGACGGATAAAGTAATCCTGGCCTTGGCCATGCTACATGGTGCAACCCTTGAAGTCCTTAACCTTGAAGGATGCAGGAAGATTACAGATGCAAGTTTGGTGGCAATAGCAGATCATTGTGTGTTTTTGAGTGATCTAGATGTGTCAAAATGTGCTGTTACTGATTCTGGAGTCGCTGCCTTGTCTCATGCAGAGCAGCTCAATTTGCAAGTCCTTTCCTTTTCAGGTTGTTCCAAAGTGTCAAATAAGAGTCTGCCTTTCTTGCGGAAGTTGGGCAAGACATTACTTGGTTTGAATCTCCAACACTGTAATTCAATAAGCAGCAAAACAGTCGAGTTGCTCGTGGAGAGCTTGTGGAGGTGTGATATTCTTTTCTAAATAGCAACGCAATCCAAAATGCTGCGCATTGACAGGGAGCGGTGTTGGATGTAGGATGAGTACTCAAGAGGAACTCCAGTTTATCTTAACAAATCCTAGAAAGCATAAGTTCATACCGTCAGCTCAATCGGGTATTGGCGTCCAGGATAGATTTTTGGCACCCCTCCCCTGTAAAGGGCCTGTTTGGTAACAGAGTGGCTTGGTTGTTTTCCAGGGGACTTTGGCAAGTCTTTTTTCTTCTTCACATCATCGTTTTTTGCAGGCTTTCTCAGTAAAAGCTTGTTGTGAAAGTTATATATTCTCCCCTCTCCCATCTTTAGATCCATCGGGACTGGGACCAATGCTCTTTCATGGCCATGGTCTCCCTGAGAATACAGTTACCAGCCACCTGTGCTCCATCTCCTTTCATGTTTGGGTCCTTGGCTTGTTCTGCTGGATGTTCAGTATCCAATATTTTAGCTTTGTCATGTATCCATTTAATGGCGTAATTGACTAAGCTTTTGATGTTCGAAGTCCTATATATATACTGTGTTGTTGGAATTATCTTGTTTACTTCGCATGTGTGTTCTTCTTTGGTGTTTGAAACTCAGGTTAAGGGTCTGGAGGTCCTCTTTGATTTCTCTGTAGTAGAGTCTTGTACGGTTGCCTTGGACAGTTCTGTTCTTGAGTTTGCCTGTGATGAGTGGGCTTCTGACGGTCTTTCACAGCCTTGTTTTTGGTTGTTTTTTTTTTGTACCCTCGGAGTCCAGTCTCTCAGGCTTGTCATGTAATAGGAAGTGTACTCTGCAACTACTTTGGCAATAAAGATTTGATTTCTGTATTTGATTGAAATGATGCTTCAAAATTTATTCATCTCATTTTGACAATTACAAACATGGAACAAATTGCGTTTGGCTAACGAGTTACTTTGCTCTGCCAAAACGTTTTTACACATGGATGGATGAGTAGAAGAAACAAAATAAACAAAGAAAGAAATTCACATAACCAGAGAAGCCATTAATTTAATTTCTGTGGATAAAATAAAGAACATTTTAACTGACGGGGAAGCATGCTATTCTAGATTAAATAGTTGTAAAAGAAAAACAAATGGAATATGAATATTATAGGAAGTCTCAACACAGACTCAATTCTCTATGTCTTTGAACAAGAGAGAGTTAGAATGAATAGAGATGTGTTATAATAATTACAGGTCGGATGCCTTACACTGCAATCCCTCAAAAAAAAAAAAAAAAAAAAAAAAAAAATTCACTTGGTTTTGATAATTATTTTAACAAAAATTGACAGAGAAAATAACAATTCAGAGAGTTACCAGCAAAGCAATGATGATTGCGGGGTTGCATGAGATTGCTCAAGATACATTTAACTTGCATTAATCTCATGATTTCGCACAACTAAGATAGATTTTATGCCAAAGACAGTCCTTTTTATTAGTGGTCCCCAGCAATTCTCGTGTCAACAAATTAGAAATTGGGTTTGTGGAAGAACAAAATTCCAATTTACTTGGACAACCAAATACAGCATTTATAAATTGTTTTTAAGTTTTGGAAGTTGCTCAAAATTCCTTTACTCGACTAAAAATAAAGACTAAATTAGTTGTATAAAATAATACATTATCTACTTAAATTTACTCCAAATTTACCACTAGTAATTCATTAACAAAGTTGTTGGACATGGCCTGGGCTCAATCCAAAAATTTACTCCAAATCCACACAAGTGAATTTTAACATCAATTGGTTTTGGTTCAATTTTATATTTAAATATATCTAATAATAAAAGCATAAACTATAACACTATAAAATTTTTCTACCTATTTATTTTAAAAATTAATATTTCAAAAAAATAAATAAATAAATACATTCCTAGAGTGTGGTGGAAATTAGTATGCATATATAAAGATGATATAAACATTTACAATAGCACATATCTAACATGTCGGACATATACTTTTTTTTTTTATTATCTTTAATATCGAATGCATACTTATTCTATTCTTTTATTCACAATCACATGTAAAAAAATTCACTCAAAAAAAAAAAAAAAGAATACTATTAATTGCTAAAGATATTTTATCACGAAAATTAATATGCATATATTAAGATGATATAAACATTTTCAATAGCACCTAGCTAGCATATCGGGCATATACTTTTTTTTTTTTTTTTTTTCTATCTTTAATATCGAATGCATACTTATTTTATTCTCTTATTCACAATCACATATAAAAAAATTCTTTCAAAAAAGAAAAAGAAAACTATTAATTGCAAAAGATATTTTATCACGATTTAAAATAAGAATAAATTTAAAATATTATTATTTGATAAAATTTACTTTATATTTAAGAAATAGTAAAGTCTATTGAAATGACAAAAAGATGCATTTAAATCCAAAAATTCTACTTGCATGTTGTGAAAGATATTTGTGGTTGTTCTTTATATATTTCATTGTAGTAAAAATATAACAAGTGTTTATATTTATTATATCTTACTGTAAAAAAAAAATTAAATAAATATTTGACAGTATTATAATATGTATAAAATTAATAGCCTTATGATTATCTAGAACAAATTTACAAAATCTTTTGCCATTGAGATTGAATTTTCCCAATTTAAGGAATTGAAAGTGGGATTATAATATTTATTAAACTAATAAGAAGATTAATTAATATTTGTTTTTGTTTTAAGATTTATAAACAAATAATTACTTATCTAACCTGTCATGTCTATCTTCTTTCAAAGAAAAAAACATTCCTCTTTCCCCGATGTTTTTACCATTAGATATACTCCCAACCTTCCGATGCAGAAACTTGAAAAGATGGTTCTCCACTTTCAACTCGCCATCTTCTTTCACGTTTTCTGAGTGATGTCTGACGAGGATATTCTCTTACACCCTATAATTTACGCTAATTCATCACTTCCTGCCTCCTCACTCTTCATTTCTCCGGCGACATTCAATCTCACATCCGCCAATTTTCAGGTATCTTCCTTTTTATTCTCGCCGGAATTTCAGTGTTTGCCGTCTCTCCTAATCTTCTTATTTCTTCATTATTCTTCATTCTTCGGATCACAGATTTTCTCGATTTACAGCCCTCGTTCCTTGCTACGCAGTTACTTTGTAGAATTAGCTTCTTTTTTTTTTTGTTTTGTTTTGGTAAATGTAGGATCAACTTCTTTGGACACTTGCAATTCGACCTGGTCATCTTTCGATACATTTTCTTTTAGCTCCCGGTTCCCAAATAATGCGTTAGGGTTTATTTTCTCTTACTACCTCTTTTTTTGTTCTTTTTTTTTTGTTCTGATACTGGATCACTTCAACTAATTTATGTGTGAAGCTGTAGTTTGCACTCTAATGTGAAGTTATTTTCCTAAATTTGATTCGTTCTAGCCGCCTGTGTAAACATTTAATTCAGTTCTATAATTTTCAGTTGCCTTCCTTTTCTCCCATTTTCCTCATGATCCAAACAGGAGCTTTGTTCTATGTTTGCGAACCTATAATAGTATCAACATTTGCTTCCGTCTGTTTCCTGTTTCGTTTACGGAGTTCCGTTATTTATTATTCGATTTTAGTGTTGTTAATTCATCATGGCATTTACTCTTAATTAGGTTGAGCTTTCAGGTACTTTGGGTATTTACTTGGGATATGAGCTTCAAGGAAAGATAATGAAAAAAACAAGGAGGGTAGGCAAGTATGAGGTTGGCAAGACGATTGGTGAAGGAACCTTCGCGAAGGTTAAGTACGCTAGAAATACAGAGACTGGGGAGAGCGTGGCCATGAAGATTCTGGCCAAAAGCAGCATACTACAGCACAAAATGGTTGATCAGGTACTTGGGACTGATTCAAATTGTTTTCTTCTCCTGAACCCTTCTGTCAAAAAATTTATTGCTTTTAATCTGCTCAGACTTTCCTCTTTCTCTGTGAATACCTTGGTAATTTTTTTGTTTTGGTTCCAGATTAAAAGAGAAATATCCATAATGAAGATTGTCAGACATCCTAACATAGTTAGATTGCATGAGGTATGCTTATACTCCATATGGCATATAATTTACAACAATAATGATCTCCATTTGTTCTTCTTGCTACTGCCTGTATTTTGTTGTTCAAATGCTTCTATCTTTTTATTCCCCGGCCCACCCTTGAACTTTTCCTCTTCTGAATTTTAGGTTTTGGCAAGTCAAACAAAGATATATATCATTCTTGAGTTCGTGACTGGAGGAGAGCTCTTTGATAAAATTGTAAGGATTCTTCTGTCCTCGAAAACAGGGAATGATAGAATATCTTTATTATTTACATACAGGCTTTTTTGGAAATTTTGAAGTAACCAATCTTTTACAGTGATTCAGTACAGACTCCCATATGTAAAACAGTATTTAGCTTATATTATTTTCACCTACCAGACAATTTAATCACACTTGACTTGGGTTATACAGGTTCATCAAGGAAGACTTCCTGAAAAAGAAAGTAGGCGATACTTTCAACAGCTCATAGATGCGGTTGCCCATTGTCACAGTAAGAGTGTGTACCACAGAGACCTAAAGGTAAAGAAATAATACAAAAAAGGAATAACTTCCTTATGATGTAAGGTTTTTCTTGACTACTTCTTTGTTTTCCTTCAAATGTGTAGCCCGAAAATCTTCTTCTTGATGCTTATGGGAATTTGAAGGTTTCTGATTTTGGTTTGAGTGCATTGCCTCAGCAAGTAAGGATGATTTCTTCTGTTTGTCAGCCATACATTTTAAATATAACATGCTCTGCTGTTGTCCCTTCCTCTCCCTGCCCCCCAAATGATCTCTGTCTCTCTCCTCTAATGTTTCTGTTATTCTTGAATAGGGGGTTTCTCTTCTCCATACCACATGTGGAACTCCAAATTATGTTGCACCTGAGGTACGCTTCCAACTAGGACCTTCATGATTATGCTATAATGATTTGCTACATTTTCCGTGCTTGTTGATGCCTCTGATTTTTCTGGATGCTTTAGAATTTTTTCTTCATTGATTCTGGCCATTATATTACTTTATGAACAACAGAACCTCACATTGGTTGCCTAGAAAACTGAGGATGCTATGGGGAAGATGCCCTGTGGGGTGCTTAGATCAATCTACCCTGTGGTA